AGGGTGACGGGCGCAGTGACAGTGCCTCTCAGATCTTTGAATTTAAAGGTCTGAGTTGGACTGCAACTGTTATAGACAGGCGTGTCGCTCACCATCAGGCACACGGCTTGTTTGTCCCATCAGTTAGTATCATAAAAAAACATTACAACGTTCCGGTTTTGAAGGATTCTGGTGAAATTACAGGCACATGGGACTTGTCAACTTATGTCTCAGGGTAACGGGCGCAGTGGCAGTGCCCCTCAGGTTTTTGCGATTTAAATAGCTGTGAGTGACTGCAATTGCTATGCTGTACATGCATGCGTGTCGCTTACCACCACCTGTTGTCACTTGGTATCATAAAAAAGCTTTTAGTTTATAATTATAAATACCAATACACTTACCATAAGCATCCCTATTGTAATAATGCCACATCTGCAAAATGAAACCTTTTCAGCAGAGAAGTCATGATATTTGTCTATAACTTTTTAATGCTTAAGTAGGAGAGTTATAAAATTTCTTTTTTATGTTTTATGTAATTGTAATGCAAAGAACACATAGAATTTTTTTAATCTGTCATGACTCGAACCTGCATATGCCGTCTGTTGACCTATATTGGTATACAGACGAAAGGTTCGACTGCCTCCGTGGCCGAACGGTTTCACTGCTGGTATGCCACGCAAAGGTCCCGGGTTCGATTCCCGGGCCGTGAGAAATATTTGTATGGCCTGCATTTATTACTCTCGTGTGTTTAGGTGTAATTTGTAATTGTCTATGTATGTGTCCATGGCACCCGCAACACGGAGTATCCCTAGTGCGGGGCTAAAATAAATCAATAACATGGTAGTAGAACATCGTAATAAGAATTACAATCAATATTGTTCCATGTAGTTCGTGTTATTTATATGTGAAAATCATAAAAATAACACGACCTGCATGGAACTAAATGGTAAATGTTTAATGGATGAAAAGCACTAAGTAAAACATGTAAGTGCTCACGTTCCTGTAAGAATTCTCATCCCATCACTGGACATCACTGGACAACCTTTTCTTCTAATATATCCTTCTGTTTACTGCAATACCACATATGATCAATAAATGTTATACTCCATGTAGATATTGCGATCGATATTTACAATTCAAAATTTCCCCAGTTAGGTGTACTGAGGATTTACTCTCGTGCGACTGACATTACTTGGAACGATATTGTTCCGATCGTTATTGTCTGCAGTTTGCACGCAACTACAGTTTACGCAATGCACTGAGTTGGTAGGTTTTGAGTGATAAATGATTTTAGAGGATAAAGATAAGTGCTATTGTATATACAAGTATACATATACTATATTACATACAAAGTCTTGAAATTTTTGAATATTGTATTTTTTGTATGTATGTTACGCGATTACATTTGTGTACTGATTTCAGTTACTCTTTTATTGTTAAAAAAACTTTTTTGTGTTTGTGTTTCTATCTTTAAGGGTGGTAGATTCAGGGATGAATCCAGTTTGTTGAATTTCACTCACGTTCCGTTAATCGATTTCAATAAAACTTGGCACATAGATGTAATTACAATAAGAGCTGATTTGATGATGAAAATGGCATACAGATGAGAGGAATTGTTGAACAGTGCACAGCAGCTACTTTGTGTTTGGGCTCGACAAGTAATCCATATTATGCTTTTCAGTTAACGTTGCGGAGATCTCGGTAACGGACACAGTGAAAGCGGAGCTAACTTTAGAGGTATCTTTTTTTAATAAAAAAGTTATAATTACTTTGATAACTTTTTCATGAGAGCAGTCCCTTGGAGTGAATTAATTTTGAAACAATTGCCATGTTTCAAATAAAAAAAGAAACTATTACCAACGATCTCTTGTTAGATGTTCAGCTATTATACTGAATGAGATGAACTATATTCGTTCTCATTTTGAACGACCCGCATAGTTTGAATTTTTCCATAATTTCAATAAGATAATTTCATTAGTCTCTATTCAAGGTGCTTGAGAATGTCTTTTTTTAACATAGGCACTTATTTGAAAATATGTTACGAGTATAAATGAAACGAGTAAGTAATTACTATATTATGATATTGATTTTTATTGAATATCATGATGTTTTACTAAGGTGATGGTACCAATGATCGACATTTTGAGGGAAGTGAGTCTTAAAACTTGAAACAACTTTTTGTTTTTATACATATATCAATAGCGATCAGTTTACTTAACAGATATAATCCTTAAGAAAGGTTATGCTGTAGTATGTTTCATAAAATAGCTATTATAATTATTACTAAAATAACCTAGATAAGATTTATAGAGTATAGTAGAAGTACAGCTTCTTGAACGAGTTCGTCCAGAGAAGTATTGCCACCTTACCTATTTCTGCTGCCGAGCAGTAATGTCAGCATTACTGTGTTCCGGTTTTAAAGGGTAAGGCACATGGGATTTGTCAACTTATGTCTCAGTGGACGGGCGCAGTGGCAGTGCCCCTCAGATCTTTGCGATTTAAAGCTCTGAGTGGCACTGCAACTGTTATGGACAGGCGTGTAGTTTACTATCAGGCGCACGACTTGTTCGTCCCGTACCTTGATATATAAAAAAAATATCAAAATGCGGTCAACGAACACCAAAAGTCCATTAATTAGGCAGTCACCACACTTATTAACGCAGAATCGCAGTAAGTCGGTATGAAAAAGCTTTATGTCCATGACGTAAGAGCGAAAAGACGTTCTGCGTTTCGCATCGGTTCGTACGAACGCGACTCGACATAGGTCGGCAACGAATCTGCTTCCAGCGAATTTCCGATTGCGTCCGTACGCATTCCGATGACAGCTGATCCTCATGTAGAAATAACTGGCGCGACGGCGCGCGAACGACCGCGTCAATGGTGAATCGGCTTAATGCGATAAGTGTGGTTCAACACGATCGCATTAGGACGATTCTGCATTTATAAGTTTGGTGACTCCCTTAATTAATCAGTAATCGACACTCACCATAATGACCTCCCAGTAATTGACACTTATCAATAAGAAACGTGTTACTATGATTGAAAATTTTGTCTTAAATCTTATTACAAATGAAGTTACAAAAAGATGTCGAGTAGTGGTGCTTGTCAGTCACTAGCGCCACCACCTTACCATGATATTCATTTAGTAGCGGTGGCCTTAGTTTGGCATACAGACGCTGGTTCGATTCCGTCAGATCGAAGGAATTTTTCTTTGTGTTCGGTCTTTGCATTACAATAATTATAACAATATATTATATTAAAAACTACCTATGTACATGAGTGAACTTAGAAATTCGGTCGGAATCAACGGTAGGAGTGTGACATGCGCCAACAACATGCCAAGAAGGCAAATTAGTAGTTTTTGTTTATGGTTGGTAGTAGGTTGGTATTTATCCATAAAATCCTAATACCCAGGGTTGCTGACATACTAATCTTAGTTCATGTTTATACTTTACTCTCAAAGCACCAATATTAAGGCGCATTGCACCATCACGGCTCCGCCCCCATGTCGGCAACTGGCCTCGAACTCCGGCGCATTCTTCATTGCATTGATCCGTTTCATGAATATCACGATCCCGCGGAAACTGTGGTTTGATACGTTGGCTAATATTTTGTTATAAGTTATCTGCCTGTTTCTGATAGGTACTCAGGTACTGTTCAAAATAGTTGCTAGTTTTTATTATTAGTTTCAGATGTCTTAAATAGATTAACATTACTTTATTGTCACCTACACATCGGCTTTACAAATCACTTTTTTGTTTGTTATTAGTCGTTACTTAGACAATTTTCTGCAATTGTACAAGTGGGCAGTCTGTAGCAGTCCTGAAATGAAAATTAGCGAAATTCTATGTACACGATGACCTTTTACCACAATTCCAAGTTAAACACAAATGAATCCGTATAAACACTTGCCGAGATGGTTATGCAAAGTCTTTACCAAGATTGTTATCAACGCTAGAGCACTAGAACGGAATTAGACCCCTCCTGTTCGTATAATTAAGCCTTTGTTTCTGAACGAACTAGAAATTACTAGCTATTCGAATTGTTATATAGACTTTACAATTTATTGTTCACCACTGTCTACTGCAGCGTTTCAGAAACATTCATGTTAGATTTAACACAGTAAATGTTTTATAGTTTCAGAATATTCCAGGTTTGATGGTTAGATGGTTAATTTATAATACCAAGTGACGGGACGAAGAAGCCGCGCGCCTGTTCGTAAGCGACACGTCTACCCATAACAGTTGCAGTGCCACGGCGTCGGTCACCCTTTATGGCCTTTAATTTCACCAGCACCCTTACTCTTCCAAACCGGAACGCAATAATGTTCATATTACTGCTTGGCGGCAGAAATAGGTAAGGGGGCAGTACTTCTCCGGCCGAACTCTTTCGCAAGGAGCTCTACTGCTACTACGCTATATACATGTCGCTAATGTCTGTCGCAGTCGAGTATAGAATTTCTAGCAGTAATGTGTACTGTAGATGCCACAGATTGAACTAATTTGATCTGGATTCCGGAAGCCAACTATTCGGTAAATGTTGGCAATATGTCGAGCCAATAACGTTGTACCGCGCCTGTACAGTCATAGTCCATAATGGAATTTATATAAATAGCGAAAGACAATATTGAATTTCTTGGCAAATATCAACTGCGATCGTACAATATTTCGCTACAACTTTTGCGTGTATTCAAGAAAAAATCGTTCCCTTGGCAGAGAACAAAAAAGTAACGAGAACGGACACTCTCTGTCCCTCCTTAGCTTTAGATACCGCACCACGCCTCGCACATTGACGGTCACATTGACTGAACGGCAACAAGGCTGTCGGCCAGCCATTTTGACGCTAAGATGGCTTTGATATAAACTGAATATAGTTTTCATTGATTCATTACGAAATTTGTACGTTAATATATAACATCATTGTACCTTACTATTTATAATGGTCGTGAATTATGCTGTGTACTGTTTGTCATCATCTAAATGGGATAAAAAGAGGAGTTTCTTTCGTTTTCCGAAAGATGAAACGAAGCAAGTAAAAATACTTATGTCTGAGACGCATTCAGTTACTGTTTTCTTCATTTAATTAGTGCAGAGTAATATATATTACATATTTATTATATATTACAATATAATGAGACACCTTAACTTCGTGAGCTAGTAGAGAAGGGTTCTCGGATTTGCAATTTGTATTGCCGATAAATATTACGTAGTGAATATACCTAATTATTGTAGTTAGTGAATTAATGAAAAATATAGTATTATATTGATATAAATACCTAATGAACATGTGTAATTATTAGGATTCTATTAATACAATTGTAGATAACAGATTCGCGTTAGAATTTTTGCTATGTTGCCGCTCTGACCACGTAACATTAGTACGAGAAAGTGATGCTGATGATGATGGGTAACCCTGCCACTTCACGCATACATTTGCGCGTGTGCAGATAGCGCCTTGCTGTCTGTAGATAGTAATACGTAAATAACTTTTGAACGTCGTATGGAGTATCCGGGGTGTGCCCTTGGTAGAATAAAGCCACATGTGAGCATACGTCAAAAGTACTTTTGTCACATGAAAGTATTACACCAATGGTGCGAAACATTGTTTGCTTTTCAGTTCAAAGTATTGAAGATATTAAAGTCCCTATTATTTTTCTTTTATTTTATAATAAATTCAGGGTTGGGCAAGCACAAAATATTCCTCACTCATATCTATCTAGATGAGAGGTGGGTGATTATAAATCGCTAAGAATGAAGCTGCTCATATAATTATACTGCCTAGTTTATAATATACGTATAAATGCTCCATGGCCTAACAGTTACCATGCTAGTCTGCCATGCAGAGATCCTGGGTCCAATTCCCGGGCCGGGAGAAATATTTGTATGGCCTATATTTATTTCTTTCGTGAATTTGGGTGTAATTTGGAGTTGTCTATATGTGCATCCATGGCACTCGCGATATAGGGTTTCCCTAGTAGGTACGGGAAGTGTGCGTCATTGATTTATTTACTTTTTAAATTCATTTATTCATTATAACATTAAGATTACAAATTATAGTTTATAGTTTAAAGCTCTGGTAGCAGTAGAACAGTCATCTAAGTTTTTGGTCACCCAAAACTAGATGATGATGCTATACCGTAACCACCTGGTTTAATCAAGAACACACTTTTCTCTTTATCATGTAAATTTTATTATCACTGCAGTCCCTTAATAGCTTTTATGGTGACGAATTTAATCTAGCGGTCCAATGAAAGTATAAAAATGTAACTTCTCATCTATTTTTCACGTTTGAATTAAAAAGGGAGAGTAACGTTCAGTTATCCGAGTTTATCAAAGCTATTATCGTTACGAGAGGTTTTGTTTTCATAAGGATAACGATAAAAGATATTGTAATAAATTTTGTTCATAAAATTACATTATCTGATTTCTCGTGCGGTTTCTTTTATTCATTTTTATGTTGAGATATCAAACTTGTGTTTTAGTCGGAAGCGGTCCGACTAGTTTCAACCATAATCGATGGTCTTCATCAGAGGTTGAGTGCTTTGAGTGCCGTTACTTTTATACTATAATGTGTGATAACCGCCTTAGTTTTCATAATAAAAATTGTGTTGTTTGATGAATATATGGTTCATTTATATTCTCATGGGAACTCTTCATCTCCTGCGGAAACACAGCGATCAAACAGAAATTTAATAATTTTACAAGTATACGGGTGCAATAGAACTGTTCAGAAATAACTACTGTTTCAGAATAAATTCCCATCGTTCCGTTTAATAAAGTATCGTTTCGAACCAATTGTCTTATTTAATTTATTAAAAGACTTGTGCAAATTATATTTTAAAGAAGGACAGCTCTTGAAAATACCTTTATTTTACATTTTACATTGAATAATATTTATTATCTATTAAAAGAGGTTCTTCGAATATTCGAATGTTCCTTAACAAAGATGCGTTCTATTTATAGGTATGCGATATTCCTGTTAGTATTTGACGTATTTTTTTCTAAACACCTGCGTCAGTGTAGTAGAAAATTTCAGCTGGGATTTTTTCACAGTAATTGAGGTGATAAGAAATTTTTGTAGCAGTAGATGTCCTTGTGAAAGAGTTCGTCCACTGCCTTACCTATTTCTGCCGCCAAGTAGTAGTGCGAGCGTTATTGTGTTCCGGTATTGGAGGGTAAGGGTGCTGGTGAAATTACAGGTACAAGGGACTTGTTATGTCTCGAACACAAGCATTCGTTTTAATTAGAAGACTAATGGTAATAATGGTAGATGGTAGAAACCATGCCACCATCAACCGGTGGTTCAGCGAGAGGATTCGGATGAGTATTCAGTGGACCCGAGCATATACATATAGGTCCATCTCTTCTAGAATCTTTGGAATCTCCAGGTCTTAGTGGATTTCAGTGTTTCTGGTTTGTCACCATGTCATCATTGATAATTCGAAGGATGTGGTTTGAACTCTGCATTGGATAATTGATTGTAGGCGGTGACCCATAACTGAATGCCATGAGGTCATAGGTATAGGCTTTAATATGGAACAGTCCACCATGAGCTTGTTACTAAGCTTTATGTAGGTACTTTCATTCCGTTTCACGGCAACGTAAATTGAGACTTAATTAAAAATATTTGTATTTTTCATGTGTAGTCTAAACTAATCGTGAATATTTTAATACAAACTAGTAACAACAGCAAATTCGGCGGTTTGCCTTATATTATTATTTCTATTGAGCAATCCGGTAATAAAAAAAAGAAGAATATAACAGTAACACGAACCACAAGCTTTCCTTGAACTTTATACAGTCACGGACCAATTCTTTGTTCCGCGGATTTTAATTTACTTTTGGATGCCCTTTTGGGAACTATAGCTACAATGGAATCTTAACTAGAAATGCTTGATGTGTCATTTTTGTGTGTGAAATAAGGCTGGTTATGATTCCCAAGAACCAATAGACTGTTTTTGTCAAATATACATTTGATTCTCTGTTCATAGCATAATACTCGTATTATGTGAATGTAGCCTCAAGGGACAAATTTGTCGTTGTAGGCAAAAATGTAGCTTTCTTTTTTAAATTACAATATTTTTTATTATAAAAGCCGTGGTAATCTAATGGTTTGACCTATGGCCTCCCAAGCAGAGGCCGTGGGTTCGAATCCGGGCTCGCATTTATGTGCGAAATCTGTTTTGAAATTTACCATGAGCTTTTCGATGACGGAAAACATCGTGTTGAAACCTGCACGTTGAAGAAGGTTCACAGCCCTCTATAAAAAGTGTGATGTCCTCAACCCGTATAATACGTGGCGGACTACGGCCTAGTGGCTTAAACCCTCACCTGAGAGGAGACCCATGCCCAGCAGTGGAACGTCAAAGTGGGTTGATAATGACGACGTTTTTTAACTCTCTACTTATTTAGAGCCCCATTAGAAATATCGTACATCAAAAAAACACTTAATATAATCCAAACAGAAATCACTACCTAACCAAACATGTATACAAAATCTTTGCGGTTCTACTTGTTGGCTTAGTGAAGACGGATTGAAATTCTCATTGACTTACAATTATATGGACGTCGGGTCCGCGCTAAAAAGTGTCCGCACTTGTAAGGCGCTAAAATCGTATACAAAGCGCCAAACTCCGCTTTAGTCTTCATTTGTTCTACTGACAGCGCGATACTGCGATGACATTACAATTTAAATTTCGAATAGGTTGACTTGGGACATTTTTTTCGAGGTTTTTGTATTACACCCGTCGTCCATTTATTTGTAAGTCAATGGAAATTCTTTTATTTTTTTCCATTCTCTAAGGATTGAAACCACCCGACTTAAAATTTAAATGTACCAAAACCCAAAACCAACCTGTGCAAATAACCGCACCCTGTTAGGTTCTGTCCGAACACACTCCATGAGAAAATGATGGACACTCTCAGGAATTCCACACTTCGCAATCTGGCGTTCTTCACTAAACACAAAAATTTGTTTTAATGAATACAATTTTGATTATATTTTAAAAATAATAATTCGCCTAAAAATATTAAATATACCATCCAAAATGCAGGCATGATTTTAAAATGTCACGTAAATGACAGTGACATTTTGATAAATAAATAAAATAAAATGAATTTGATTTCGACGAATATGTACAAATTATTGGTTTTGTTGAGATAATTTAGTGTTATTGTTAAATTATCAATCGGTATCTGAAAAATACATAATGTTAATACCTACGTGTATGATAAAGTTTATTGAATTGGTAAACAGTACTCATTATTAGTATGTGATTTATAAGTTGTTTTGTATGTTGTAGTTGGTTGGCTCACTCAGCCAACATTGTCTGCACGATTCAACACCGGAATGAATACACCAATAATTTCAACGTTTTATTGTAAACTAACGTTTCTTGTTTGTTGCTCAGTCTGTACCTAACTGTGATAAGTGTTGTAGACAAAAGCTAAAAGCAGGATACATTCTGCGTGGTTGCGCTAATTGATTATGTAACTCGCAAATTTTCATTGAATACGATTTTTACAATATGCTTGTACCCAAATAGAAGACACAATATACTTTTCATCGCACTTGCACGTAAATAGATAATTGCAAGCATGGTAACTTGACTATAATGTCCTATATAAAACCCTCGCGCTTTTTTTCTTCATATTTCAAGATCGTGGTTGTAATGAGAAAAAAAAAGCCCGAGGGTTTTATTTGGGGCATTATAGTCAAGTTAACCTGCATGTAATCATACTATTAACTCGCAAATGTGATACAAAACATTGTAAGTTTCACTTGCCCGTGTGGCGTGAGGTTCGTAATTCCAATTACGAACCTCGACTCCGAAAGCCCTCAGTCTTCGAATTCGGGCTTCTAATAGAGTCTCGTTCGTAACTCTTTATTTATACCGCCCTTAATACACAATGTACTATTTTGCTTTCAGGTTCTAACATGTGTGTGTTTAACATTGCTGCACTACAGTTATGATATGACCGATGTGCCGACACTCATGTTGTGCTCCGGTACTTTCATAGGGTATATAGTAGTTTTTTCTGGCGAAATCGTAGGTAAGAAACTACTTTAATTTTGCATATTTGCAGTTAGTTTATTCAAGCAGGCAGCAGGCTATGGATAGTGCAGTTTTAAGGCCCCTAATATTGCGACATGATCATCCGCGACTAACGGTAAAATGTATGATGCCTAATTTACAGCACATTCAGTGCGACGTGGGTGCGGCGAGGCATCTATCACTTCATTTGCTCGTCCACTCGCGGACAGTCCGCGTTGCACTATTAAGTCCCTAAAATTGATAATCCTCCTGCCAGATACGATGTTGGCAAGTAGGCATTAATTCTCATATCTTTTGCTGTAATATTGAACTATTGTCGTACCCAAACTGATTTAATTCGTAACTTGCCGTCTTCCGAAATTCTGACAGTGTATTGAATTAAATAGGATGGGCCGTTCCATCAAAGCACATTTATTAATTATTTTGATTTACAAAATGTATATCGTTTCTGTAATTATTAAGTAGTATCCGGTTTTAATATTATATACCATCCGGTTTTCACCGCCCGGTATTTAATTTTAGATGAAAGTCGCATTTATACCAATTAACCGCAGTGCTTATCCCATAATTTTACGTAAATTAAGGGCCTCTTTATATGTATTAAAATATGAACCTTTGCAAATTGTAAATTTACTTATTTCTTAGTTCTTTGATTATATAGTTGAAGCCACATGTTTTAGTAAATAAGGAGATTTTTTAGTGGCGATTATGACAATTGGGTCATTCTATGAAAAAAGTTACAGTTCATTCAACTTATTTTCTAATATATTTTAAGTTAAAATGAAGTGAGATGCTCATAAAGTACAGACGGCAGCACATCAAGCTGCACATTGACGGATCTTGTTCCGTTCCTGGATGCGATATTTAAACAGTGTAATAATAACTTGATGTGCTCTACACTTGCCGTATATCATTAACGTAACGAATGTCCCAAATCCCCCTTTTTCGTAAATATCTATGTGTGACAATGTGATAATGCTGATGTGGTTGTGGAATATAGTACATAATAATCTAGCTAAAACATTTTAGGAGAAATATTGTTCGCGCCAGTGGATCTTGTACAGGACATGTTCTTTGGTATAATTGGTATTGGGATGTTTGCCGTATGTGGCGGCATGGTCCTTGCCAATCGGATGAAGAGTCAGTCCCTCCCGCGCACTGGGGACCACACTGCAGCCGTCATACAGGGCTCTCTGTCTCTGTTCTGTTCACTCATTTTACTTTTCGATTTGAGCCTGGCTTATTTGGATTCAGAAGAGTTTGATGATGAAGCCAGCGTGTGATGTGAGGTTTGTTTTTTATTCTTATACTTCCGTTGTAGGTTGAGGTATAAATGCGGCTTTTAGGTTATTCTGAGTCAATGTAAAGTAGTTTATTGCGATCTAAAATGCTCTTTACGATGACCACTTTGGGAAATTATGTTCTTGCTTAATCATTATCCCGTCGTACCTTGGACTAAAGTATAACTGGGAAACTTTCGAGTCAGAAATAGCAATGAGAAATTGTAATTATTTTAGGTGAAATAGTATCAGCTGCGGCGGATGCATACGTAGACGCTTGGTGGTCGGCGACAGGCGCAGCATTGTTCGGCGCGTGTGGGTGGCTAACGATGAACGGGTGGCGCGACGTACCTCCTAGCACGCGCAGAACTCATGCGCAAGCTGCCGGCATCTGTGCAATCGTCACCGCTACGATACTCGCCCTCGACGCCATCCTGGCCATCTGCTCGGCGCACAAGGAGGACAACAGCTCGCGCACCTGCAGTAAGAGCCAGCATCGCGCCGGTCATATATGATAGTAGTAAGAAATAATTTTCCCTTCATGTTTTTACCTGGGTTCGGAATATCCCTGCAACCAGTGTTAGTTTTCTTTAATAAATTAAGTTTTGCTTGAGATTTTGTTTTATGTTTCGTTACTAATAATAGTTTTATCTATATAACGCTCTATAATAAATTAATTAATAACAAAATTGTGGTGTAATCTAACATTATTTTACCTTGGTGCCATATGCAACACATCGACTCTGCGGTATGACCGAAATTAGTGATTTAAGCTATTACTTTACATTGAAACTATGTAATTTGAACGTAATCCAATGTGCATTTGTATTAATATAAATTTTTATAGCCATGACAGAATCACGGAACATAATTTACTGTAAAAAGCCCTTAATTTGCTGGCAGCGACATCTATTACAATATTAGTGAACTTTTTCTTATATATGTACTGCTCCGCGCTACCAAGTTAAGAGTTTATCGCTCTTATTAGTTCACCTCTGTAACAATAGATGGGGTGACTATAATTCTTTTGAATCGCGCTGAATGCAAAACGCAATTTAAAAACGTATTGAAAGATAAATAAAAATAGCAAAGGTTCAAAACTACCCTATAAACCGAAGAAGTGGTACAAGAACATCGATAATATATTTTGAGTTATAACAGCTGAATAGGGCGTTTGTTTAGTCATCCATGTAATCGACCAAAATTATTTTCGAATGAGAATCATTCTATAATGGGTTATTGCTACCTTAAAGGAGATCCATACTTGGCAGCGAAACGTAATTATTCATGTTGCTACAGATAAAAAATGATTATATCATCAGTTGCTCAAACGAAACGGTGTAGCACAATGGAGCTATCAGAGCGCAGAGTTCAATACATACATATCGACACAGAATCAATAACAGTCATAATAGGCCCTGTTAATTATTGAGCAAACGTTTGTTTTGAGCAGATTCTTTGCCAATGGTGAAGGACACATTGTTAACACGTTGCGTAAGACAAGATGACTTAGAATCCAAAAATAAATCACATAGTACCGGAACTATTAAATTTTATTAGGCTTGAGCCAAGGAGAGGGCCAAAGAAAGATTTATTTTAGGAGCAACTGTGGAAAGGAAATATTATCTTTCAGATGTGTTACGTGGGTATATAGATTTAGATTTCAGTGGCATAAAATACAAACTGGATGAAAAAAAATTGGCATATTGCTGTAAAAGACTATCAGATACCTTCTAAGATCTTAGATTCTTTTTTTATAGCAGGATATGTAATATAAATACATAATTAAAAATGAAACACAACTTTTTCCTAGTTTTATGGCGCAATTTACATTACCACGGAACGTCATGGAAGCGAAATTTTAATAAGAATATTGTACATAACATAATGAACTTTTGAAAATTGTGTGACATAGAAACTATACGGTACCTGCGGGAATTCCCGAGACTGCGCGAGAATTCTCCGGACGACTCGCGCTCTGTTTTTTGGCTCGTACCTGTCTAGTTTGTACGATTACACAATGGGCATAAAGATCATTATGCTATGGTTGCAAACATTCGCTTTCGTGAAAACGCAAATTGAGCCTTGTAAGTAAGTATAAAATTAAGTCGAAATTACTCGCTGAGGACAATGTGGAGTACTTCAGACTAAAGCCAAATACACCTTCAGGGTCGAGCCAAATACAACGTGAATTGTAATTCGTTTGTGGTCAGAGTACCGACCGAACTACTGTCAACCTTTACAAAGGAGGAGTTTTGGCTGAAAAGGGTGTGGTATATCGGCAATCCCGCGACCTGACACCAGATTACGCCACACGTCACAAATAATATTAGGGGTTAAAGTATGAAATTGCCGTTTTATTGCAAT